GGCGGCGCCTCCGGGTGCCGCTGTTGGCCGCCGCCGAGCGGCGCTGGAGCCGCCGCCGCCGCCGCCTCTGCGTCCTGCCCCCGCAGGCTGCTCGCTCGGCCGGGCAGTGCGGGCCAGAGCGGCAGCGGCACGGGCAGCAGAGGCGAGAGGCGGCGCGGCGCGGGCAGCAGAGGCGTCCGAGCCGGAGGCGGCGGCGGCGGGCTGGGTGCGCTTTGTCGGGCGCTGCGCTGGCTGCGCAGAGCGGCTGCAAGGGAGGCAGGGCAGCGGCAGGAGCCGTGCGAGCTCGGAGAGCGAGCGCTGTGGGCAATGTTGGGCGGGCGGAGGCAGAGCGGCGGTCCGGGCGGCGGGCGAGCGCTGGTGCTGGGCGCTGTGCTGCTGTGGCTGTGCTGGCGGGCGGCGGCGGAGCGGCTCCGCTACTCCATGGCCGAGGAGCTGCCCAGAGGCTCGCTGGTGGGGCCGCTGGCCCGGGACCTGGGGCTCAGCGCCGACGAGCTGCCGGCGCGCAAGCTGCGGCTCAGCGAGGAGAAGCAATACTTCACGGTGAGCGAGACAAACGGGAACCTGTACGTGAGCGAGAGGCTGGACCGGGAGGAGCTGTGCGGCGAGTCGTTGTCCTGCTCGGTCAGCTTCGAGGCGCTGGTGCACAACCCGCTCAACGTTTTCCATGTCGAGGTGGACATTCAGGACATAAATGACAACTCCCCGTCCTTCGGTAAGACTGTTCTGGACCTCGAGATTGGTGAATGGACGCTTCCCGGTGCTCGTTTTCCGCTGGAGGTGGCCCGAGATGCAGACATGGGAAGTAACTCGCTGCTGACTTACGAGCTCAGCAGCAACCCCTCCTTCAGTCTGGCCACGAGGGAGAGCCCTGACGGAAGTCAGCAGCCGGAATTAGTGCTGGAGAGAGCGTTGGACCGGGAGAAACAGAGCTCCTTTGAGCTGGTGTTGACAGCGATGGATGGGGGGGACCCCGTGAGGTCCGGGACTGTTCAGATTCGCGTCAACGTGACGGACGCGAACGACAATCCACCCGTGTTCAGTAAAAAAGTGTACGAGGCGCGAGTAGCGGAGAATCTGCCGGCGGGGTCGCTGGTGCTGCGGGTGCGGGCCACGGATGCAGACGCGGGGTCCAATGGGCGGGTCTCCTATTCTTTCGCCAACGTCCCGGATGGGATCCGTGAGTTGTTTGCTGTCGACAGCGAGAGCGGTGAGATCACGACAGTGGTTCCCCTTGATTTCGAGGAGAAGAGTAAATACAGCTTCAGCTTGGGGGCGAGGGACGGCGGCGGGTTGACCGATAATTGCAAGGTACAAATAGACATCACAGACGAGAACGACAATGCCCCCAAGATCACAATCCTGTCGCTGTCGAGCCCAGTGTCGGAAGATGCGGCAGTCGGCACCGTGGTGGCCCTGCTGAAAGTGCGGGACCGGGACTCTGGCGAGAACGGTGAGGTGTCGTGCGAGCTGTCGGGAGAGGCGCCGCTGTCGATCGTGGCGTCGTCGGGCGGCTCGTACAAGGTGGTGACGGCGAGCGCGCTGGACCGCGAGCAGGCGTCCGAGCACCGCGTGACGGTGGTGGCCCGGGACCGGGGCAGCCC